ATGTCTATGACAGAGTTAAACAAGAATGGAGAGAGTGGACAGCCCAGACGGATACCACTTGAAGTAACCAATTCCAAAGACAGCATGCCACAAACTCCAACTCAACCTGTAGTGTTCAAGTAAAGAGCTTGTATATGTTTAATGTACTTATTTGATACACTTTACAGTGACAGACACTGGCAAAGAACCTCAAAATCGAATGAGTGGTAGATTAGGACATTCAGTGAGTGAGACCAGTCTGAAGAGATTACTTCCGATTCCCAGATTCCCTAGTCAATCTTGCTGCTGAAATTTGGCCACCATCCTAATAAATCTCAGGGGAAACCCTGTGACATCCTGTAGCTCTCCTTCGCCTTAGATTCCTTTTTGCTTTTACAACTTCATTCAGCGTTGGAGGACTCATTAATTTTCCATTCAGGTTGAAAGGATATCATGGGTAAATGAAGAGTGGCTAAAAATCAGTTGAACTGATTCTGAAAGTGTTCTACCCATCGTTTCAATCTCCTGGATCGAGAATGAATGATAATAAGCTCATTCTTTTCCGAGATATTTTCGCCAAAAGTTGGAATCCTAGTAACAGTTTCCTTGATAAGTTCGAAAAGTTGTCTGCAGTTAGCTATCACCTCTGCCTTTTCCATCGCTCTTGATTTCGTTAACCACTACTGTTCGTGATCATTGCCTAGATTTCTTATCTTTCTGTGTATAAGCTGACTCCGCTCTTCTTCATGTTCAGAGCCAGGCACGACGGGCATCACTTACATGGCCTCATAAATTTTTCTGTTCGCCCCTGAAATATATTTTTAGCCGTGCTATCTTTAAGTAGAACTTTCAGAATTTCCCTTGCAGTGTCTTTCCTAAGTCTAGTAAGCCGCAAACAAATTCGCGATTGCACGAGAGATTGAACTGAATCTAAACATGTGCTCCAGGATGAGTGACAATCTTCAACAGAGCTTCTCCACAGGTTGCTGATGGCGATGTGATCTAGCTAAGTCCAACGTTGGGACAACTCTGTAAGCCGCCATGTCAAAAGATGTTTTTCTCTGTGCCTAAAGTTAGTATCTGTCAGAAATAAGAGATTGTCTGAGCATAATTACAGAAGTCGGTAGCCATTATCGGTTCTTTGAGCCACGACAACATAAGATCCACACAGGTCTCTCTCAGCTTCGCTTAGTCAGCTTGCTGGAGCATCGAATCCGGCCGCCAATATTGCTACATTAGAGCGCCTATCGTTTTGGGGAAGGTCCGAAAGCTTTCTGCAAAACTCACCTCTTACCTCATCTGAGCTGCAGTCATTAGGAGTTTAGGCAGAGATAACGAAGACAAAACGGAGAGTATCCCTATGTTTCCGATTCCTTATGGTCAATTATAGTCGCATGGTACACAAGTGGCTAACTACTGGGATACACAGAGCGTAGACCGAGTCGGTTCTATATTGGAACAAGGTGAAATTAAATTAATCACTTTACTTGGATCCTGTATGCTTGTAAACACAACACAGATTGGTGGCGCGAGACCCCAAAGTCATAGCTAAGGAAGCTTTATGTCCTATCGGGTACAATGTCTAGAATCCAATAGATAGTTTGGAACGGGATAATGAAGAAGCGTGAGACAGATTCGTAGTAAATTTCCCTCAACGTCTACACAAAAGGAGTAAGAGCACGTCTTAAAAACCTGAAAACGAAGTTGGATTAGGGTTGGTCTTAAAGACCTGGTAGCGTGACCGAAAAGCCCAAGAGATAACTACTTGAGACCAGTCACGCGCGGCTTTTTTATAGGTAGTTTTCAAACTGCTAGCTCCGCTCTTCAAGCGGCCTTACCACCAGAGGCGGAAATTCACGAGCTAAGGTGAGATGAGACGATTTCGTGGTTGATCTCTGCTGAAAGCTTCCCTCTCTGTGAGATGGCAGCATTGCTGCAAGTGCTAATTTTCTGAGGGACACACCTTACTACTGTCTCACGCTTCTACAGTCGGCAGCCCGATTTCGACCACAAGCCTTCAGCTGCTGTTTTTCGTCTTACCGTTCTCCAATGGACCTGCGCGGGGTGGTAGAACCTACAGGAGCATGTGTTCTAGTCAATGTAGCTCGGTGGGGTCATCATGATAGGCAGGTCCGATCACAACGTCGAATTAACAGCTACGATGTGGGAAAAGCGCCTAATGCTCATTATTCATCATTTATTCGATGATGGAACTTGTGATGATATAGTTTGAGGATTGTGTTCATAAAAACGTATTGAAAACCCTTCATCACTGTCCTCGATTCGGTCAGGATTTACCGTAACATACTGAAGTTCAATAGAAAGCTGATAATATAGGGTTTACAGGGTTTAGGAATTCATCTAGTATACAGAGAAGATTGATGCTGCTGTAGTTCTCACACTTTCTGAGGTCGCTTTCCTTTGGTATTTTGATGAGGTCAACTTCTCTCCAGTCTGTTGGTACATGTTCTTCATCACTAATCTTGTTGAGGAGGAAGTAAAACATATTTGCAGTTGCTGCCACGTATTCTATCAATGCCTCTGCTGGAATGTTGTCTGACCCTGCTGCTTTGCCACTATGGATTAGTCTGATGGCCATACTGATCTCTTCAATTGTTGGCAGGTTTACATCGATTGAGAAGGCCGCGGATGCTGTTTTGATGTTGGATAGGTTCAGTGGATCCGTTTGATTCAAGATTTCCGTTAAGTAATCTACCCAATTATTTCGCTGTTCTTCACTGTTGCCTACTTGCTTATCACTGGTCGTTCTGGTTCACGATAGATTCCAGCGAACTTCTTTGTTGTGTCCTAAAATTGTCTAAAATATACTTCTCTAACAGCCTTTTCCGCCGTAATTGCTAGATCTTCCACATATTTACGTCTGTCGGCTTTGATGCTCCTCTTTACCTGCTTGCTCGCGTTTGTATATTCAGTTTGTGCTTTTTCTTTCTCTTTCCTTGTTCGGATGATATTGAACGCTGCATTCTTGTCCCTTCTTTCTTCGATTTTTTCAAGAATACTGATACGTTTGTCAATTGATTTGCTTCAAACTATTACGAATACGCCTTACTCGGTACACGTACCGAAGACAAATGATCCAGTGACACGATAAGCTATTCCAATCCGTTTGTCCTCAGCCCGGCGAACTATATCAAGAAGTCTTGATACCTGCCTTTAAACTTCGTCACAGGAAGAGGTAGTTTACCCTCTTTCAATGTGAACGATATACAAGGAAAGTGCACAGAATTGTGTTGTCCTATGTAGTATTGGCCGCTGTGATTTATGGCTATGCACAATCCATCATAAATGTTTCATCTACATTTAAGTTCACGAAATCTATCTAAGATCCAAATAACATCAACTGTGGGATTGTTTTTGTCCAAGCAAACATCACTGTACGCACTGGGTCTCAACTATCATTTATTATTAGCTGAAAAAGATTACCTATTTTGTGAAAATAATTACATACAATTCTCATCCAAATTTGTTGGTACTGTTAGTTTCAGATACAGATTACTTCTAGATATTCAGTTTTGAGATCGATCCAGTCACGACTGCAGTAACAGATTCGCGTGACGCTGTAACCATCATTATAACACTCTCATACTTCTGTTCTTAGTCGAAATGTGTCAAATATGTCTTGTCACAACCTGATAATATAATCGCATTCAATTATTTCCACCTTTACTTCTTCGACATCAGTAACAGCGAAATTTTTTCTGGTGTTTAACACTGCATATTCTCTTACATAGTTGGAAAATGACGACAAGGATCAAATTCTATTTCTTTCTTGCTATAAACATCTATTCCGTGGATCACGAAGCATCCACGAGTTATTACAGGAATTAGAGTGAACCATCATGAACCACTTATTGAGATATCCACCAGGATCCAACGACAAGCGAAACGTAGGCTGAAAATTTAAGAACATCGAAGCACAACTGGACCAATTGTTTTGAGTTCTAGTGGTTTGATGAAAGTCCGCCTTCTCTAAGGCTTTCGCTTAACATCAACAGTGCATTGCCTACTTACATCTCGATTGCCGCCCTTGGAACTCAACAAATGCACTTTTAAAATCATTGCAACAAAAGAATTGTTCACTTATATCAGACGAAACATTCTAGAAACTGGAAGCATGACCAGTAAATGAGATTTTCGTGCCAATTTATATAAAGTTCAGAAAAAGAAGTATAAATCTTTTTACTTTTATCCGGCTGTCCTTTAAAATTTAACACAATCTTCAATGAATCGGATATAATTGCAGATTCTGAATGAACACACATGGCTGGAGCCTAATCCAATGGACACTACCAAACACCTGGAACCGTACAGAAAGAAGAAGAATCGAGCGCAAAAAAACCACTTGGTTAATACCAGCTCGTAAAAAAGATATACGATATTAAAAACCAGGAACATTGTTGACACTAAACAAAAATAGAACGCACTCGAAATGATTATCAATAACTTTCGCGGTATCAAGACTCGAGTATTCCTCTTACTCATAGGAAAACAGCTGATTATAGTAGCATACGCACTTGCTACAGACCTCTGGCGACCTAAGCTCAGTGTGTCGAAACAAAAATCTCAATAACTCTAATCGAAAAATCGTAACATGTGCTCACTAGTGACTAGCTTCGTGAGGAAATTGTCGGAGTTCTAGTGAGAAGAAGTGACCAGTGCGGTTCAACCCTGTCGAGTGTGGGCAGTAACTACCAAAGACAAATGGGTGAGGTTGTGTAAAATATTTAGATCAATCGTAGTTATACAATAATACCGTTGGACAGCGACCCAGTGGTCCAGAGTTTAGGCGTTCGCGCACAAGTCCGAAGGTCCCGGGTTCGAATCTTGCGAGATGCAGGAGTCATGAATACGTACAGCTGGTGAGTGCCATACCAGGACGAAACGGCCGTTCATTGCTTCTAGATTTATAAGGGTGGTCTAAAAATGATCGATTGATGATCTCAATCTTCAAAAACAATAATCTCTACAACTCTCATTGATAAATTCGAAACATCCACCGCGCTCAAGGTCGTGGGAACATAGAGCCGGCTAGTTTGAACCAGAACTGACTTTTCGTACACCTCGGGAAGGCTCGTCTCCATTTTTAAGCTTCAGCTGTTATGTTTTTAAGAGACCTTATGTCAGTCTACGTAATGTTATGGAGAGAAACCCGAAAATTAAATATGCCTCATTAGTTTCATAATGCAAATACGAATATACACTTATAGAATCAAACGCCGAATTAAACAATAATGGGGAAATAAAGGCGATTTTGGCTAAGGAGACTTGTTGTAAATTCAGGTGAAATTGCACCAAAGTGTTGGTTTTTTCGACTAGGCTGAGGAGATACTGCGATATTTCCCCCATACTTTTCACAAGAGGCGATAGGTTTGTAAATTTACACTTTCATGATCGCCGAATGATCTACTTTTGGCCTATTTAATCCACGCTAGGTGTAAGAATGAAAGTTTTGCTATCGATTTCTTAATATTCGCCTATGCCTATCCAACGTTTGATTTTCTTTCCTCATTCTTATTTAAATGGGCCTTTTAATATGTCGAGATATCAGTGGGGAAAAGTATCTTACTCTAAATATTAAGTTTATTTACCTGTAGCGGAGTTTGATAGCCAAGATTGAATGGTAGATAGTAATGAACAGTAAGATTTGCGGTTCGAAGATTGAATCTTGTAATACTACCCTAATTACCCAAAAAGGAGAAGTGAAGTAGAATACGTACCAGAAATTATTTTTTCCCTGATGTATGAAAGTAGTGCAGTACTTCTTGTTTTTGCCATTTTATGTCTTCGAGTGTCAATGAATTCACGACTATTCTTCTAAACGTCCGCCGAATTTTCGGCCGAATAAACGGTCTTATATAAAATCAGATGCATTAAGCAATGAAGTCGCGTTCGCCTCTATTTCCATCACGTTTTAGTAAGAAACCGTGAATTTTTAATGAGATGCTTGCTTTAATTTAGTAGGCACTGGATGAAATTACTGTAGGTACCGTTTAACTATCATTCATGTTATCACAAACCAACATTTCACTCTCCAGATTCATAAGAAACAACCATAATCGTGCATTCCTATAACCAAGAATGCTTGCCTACCACCCAGATGCTGATCTGAAGGGACAAATAATTTACTAGTTCGGTAAAGTCTGAAATGTTGTGGTTTTGGAGTCAATATTTGCGAGTTTATATAATATGCATTATCCACAAACATAAATATCTGTTCTTCAACCCTGGTGTTAAACTACTTGATAAAAGCGAATGGTTACCGCCAGGTAATCAACATATTTTTCACTACTACTAAGAAACTTATGTGACAAAATATAGAAACAACTGGTTGGTACTTCTATTAAAATGTATAGACCGTGAGTGATCTTACTGAAATGGTCAAGTGTAAACTGTGATTATTTGACATAGTTACTTTTAGCTATTAAAACTGCAATAAAATATTTTATCCTATGAACTGCAATGCTTTTTTTAGACTAATGAATAATCCGAGTGAAGAAATAAATCCTAGTATCGTACAATGTCTTTTAAAAGAATTAACCGAAGAACTTTCACCCTATGGCTTTGATATATCTCCATTTTTATCTGGTTGGTATAATGCTCATGTTAGTTCAAGGGTTCAACTTGGGCCTGATCTAGCACCATATGACGATTGTCTATGCATCTGTTTAATAAGCAATCCACAAATGTTTGAAAAAACATTTCTACCAACTGTTTTAGATTGGTGTGAAAAATCTGGTGTCGAATCATTGGATAACGTTTTGAAACGTTTAAAAACTCAATACTATGGATTTAAATTTCTTCCTGGTCCTGATGATCCCTTCGATTGGAGTGTTTTTATTCGACTTCAAAACGCATTGCATAATTCTATTCAGAACTTAAAATGTAAGCTAAGTTCTGATGAGTTGTTGAAGTTCAATGATGCGAAATGGATACCAGATTATGCTATCAAACCAGTTACTCTATTTCCCTATGTTCATGTACAAACAGCCGGTCATGTATCAGGAATGGCTTATTTTCATCAACCTAACGAATTAATAAGAAACAATCCCTATGAGAAAAAATCTGGCAACTATAGTGGAGTTAGTTTACATCCATATTATGGCGGTTGGTTTGGATTTAGGTAATCAATTTTCTTTATTTAAATAAATAATAGTTCTAAATAAATTGAGCATTGAATGGAAAGTCAATCATAATAAAATACGAATAAAGTAAAAGCAAAATAACGTAGCCAAAGGACATGAGTGCATTTTGTTACTGAGTTTCTCTTCATCTGCTTCAGTCAGTCAGTCAGTAAGCTACAAAGCAGAACTCCATACGTATATACATTAATTCCAGTTGCCATGCCATATTAGCTCAGAGTACCAATTATCAATTCATATCCCATTGCAGTAGAAGTATGAACAGTAATCGGAAAGATTGGGTTTCGCAGATATTATTCCAGTAGTATAATCCAGTGAGATAAATTTAAAAAAGAGTAAGATAAAGGTGACAAGGAATTCGGAAGATTATCATTTGAAAGAAGGCAAAACATGAATGCAACTGTGCCGTTGCGAACGATTTTGAGTTATGTCATTCAAAGTCTCTATCTAAACAACGGTTACAATCATCTCGCGCACCCCAACCTAGTAGTCTGCACTTACTAACATGGCTTGTTAGTTACTTCGTGGATTTGTACCATGTTTTTGGCTTCCCCCCCCCCAGCTTTATTCCGACCTATTCCTACACCACAAAACATAGCTCAACGAGACAGCTGGTAGTTAGACATTCTTAACACATGTCCCAACCATCTCACCTGATGAAGTTTCAATGCTTCATTTATTGGTTTGTCATCCCCCCCCTTAGTACTCGTTTCTTAATGACAGCACTGCTTACTCGGTGGTCTCAGGATATATGAGCGGGGCTTCAGAGAAACTTGTGATCAAAAACCAGTACCCTACTAATATCTCCTACTCTTACTGGCCATGTTTCACAGCAGTAAAGTAAGACGGAGTAAACTTTCGTGCAGCAAACTCCTCCTTTGGTTAGCAGACAGATATCCCTCCCACGTCATAAGTGACGCGAGTTGGCAAAAGCCAATCGAGCCTTCAGTATCCGTGCTGAGATTTAGTCAGTCAGCAAGTAGTCTCAGCTACGTACAACCGAATCATAATAGTACTATTCATTAAAACCAAAGTACATACTTTTTATCAGAATATCGAAAAAGTTCTCATCAGCAAAGATTAATAAAAGAGCAACAAGGACTACATGACATTAAGTGTTACAAAATCGTTTGGTTCCAATTCGATGTAGGATATACAGGGAATCAAATCTAACAAAGTGTTTTCCGTAAATGTCTAACCACAGGCTGCTATCCACGTCAATGTTTCAAAAATCTGCGTTGGTGAAAATTGCCGCAATCACCTAAAAGCCGAGGTACAATGAAATCCCAGATTAAAGCAATGAATGACCATGTATCCAAACCAACTACCGAAGCTTTTTCTTATAAGGTCGTAGAAAAAAATTAAAATTCCACATTCGATAGAACACCAAAAAGACACGTTTCACTTTACTAAGATTCTGGAAAAAGTTAACATTTCTGATAAATTCATGGTTTCCTTTGATGTATCATTATTATTTATGATAAACCCACTAGACGGAACCATAGAAATAATGTGCCAACTCTACTGACCTACTCCCTTCACTAAAAGCTGAATTCAGGCAGCTCAGCTGCTTCACTCTCTATTACTAGTTCAGCTGCCAACGCAATCCAATCCTGAAGCAGAACTTTGTATCCCGAGGGGGAGAATGGCATTACGAACTCGTCTTCATCGGCATATTCGAAGTCAACAAATCAAAGTCCCAGTGAAAGTTCGACTCCTAAAAAGTCAGATGTTAAAAGTGTCATCTCTAAGAGCATGTCAATGATAAAGTTGAATAAGAATAAAGAAAGTAGGTATCCTTGACGGACACTACGATGAAAGCTCGCCATAAGCTCTCATTCGATTAGTAGTGTTTGAGTAGAGAGCTTGTATAAGGTTAATGTACTTCTTTGGTAATCCTTTCAGTGACAAACACTGCCATAGCACCTCACGACCAACAGAGTCAGATGTCACCTTCAGTGCGATAAATGCTACAATTGTGGGATGTTTGGTAGTGTGTTCTAGAACCCGACGTAATGTGAAACGCAATACAAATGGTTGACTAGAAATACATATACTTGGAAAGGACTTATGGAGTGGATTGTACATAAGTTTCCTTAGCTTCTGTCCAATAAGCTACAAAATAGCCTTAGTTAGAACACTTTCCAATCGTATCAGAAGATAAAATTGATGAGGAATTAACCATGGTTGGATGTTGTTTACGTGATAATGGTTAACCTTAAACATTCATGTGAGATGACAAAAGCAAAGAAAATAGAGTATGCCACTGTTGAGAGGAAACCTGACTTTGAGGATGCTAAAATAACAATAAAGATCAATCTTAGACTAAAAGTCATAATAAAAATGATGTATCGAGCCACCAAACCAACTTCTCTGTAACACAAGAATTGCGCATTCAGACAATCATGTGTGGACGAATTCCCTTCATATGTTACATCCGATTGTATTTACCAGTTTACATGTATGTTCAAAACACATACATCAGAAGAACAGAAAGGAGGATGTGTTCACAGATATCTAGACTGAGAGGAAATGTTTACAGCAATACAATTGCTTACTATTAACTTGACACAATCGTCACAAGGTTGATATCTCAAGGTTCTTCAAAATAATTACTAAACAAACAACATCAAATTTACTACGGTTGTTAATTGAAGCAATTGCTTTAAAATGATATAAACCAAACCTTTTGCATTCGAAAAAGAATCAGCTATCAATCTGGCTTTACCGTGGTAACTTTATCTATTAGTGTTGTAATGAGATTTGTTTTGTGACTGATTGATTATTCTCAATTCTTACTTAATCTGTACTCAGTAAATTTTATTTTAAGAGCTACATAAGTATAGTATTAGTATTTTAATTCCAAATAATTCTGCTTCTTAGTTGTTTATTGCAGAATTTTCTTATATTCAACCTATAAATATTCATATTATTTAGCATATAAATATTAGCTTTGATAGTCCCTAATTGCTCTTCATCGATGAGAAACTCTCAGATGTTATGATATAAAGTATGTACACTGGTTTTAATGATAAATACTATTATGTTCGGAGGTTGTAATCAGTTGAAGAGAAATCGCAAAATCAAATGAACTCATTGTTATTCTACTCTGTGACTTGTTCTTAATTTATTCAAAGTTATAATTTTTAGATAATATCCAAATGAGTAGAAAATTGTTTGTCTGACGTTTCGTGACTTGATGCCATTCACTTCTCCATAGCTCTGACTTATTTACTGACGCCTGTTCACCTTGTGAAACATAGATGGCCGACTAGGATTCTCCAGCCGACACTGTTCTTGATTCGACTTTGCATTTTTTGCCATGTGTTGTTCATTCTTCTAGTGTCTGTTTCCAAATCTAGGCACAATGCGTTCCTTGGTTTTTCTCTCTTTAAGGATATCATATGAGGACTTTCCTGGTTATTCAGTTTTAGGGGTTTCCACAATGCATTTCCTATCCACCTGCAGCATTTTTGCCTAATTGCTTCCTCTATCACAGTAGGTTATTACTAGTGTCTAGCTAACGGGTTCTCAGTATCCTGTGTAGATTACGATTTATAATAATTGGAGGATGATGAAACACACACAGTGGCAACAAATATACCAAATCTTTAAACCGTGTCATCTCATTCAAGACAGTATTTTGATCTTTTACACTGATATGTTTCGTAGATTAGTACATGTCTATACGCAGTGTTTCTGTTATATTCGAATGAAGATTAATATTACCTTAGAGAGACAATGCATGGATTACTATTATTATTATTATTAATTGAGGTGATTCTGACGTATGTTACGAATGCCTAACCACCAACTGCCCCGACGAGCGATGTTTTGTGGTGTATTAGTAGGTCGGGAGAAACCTACGGGTGGCCAAACCAAAAGATGGAGAAAATCCATGAAGTCACTAACAAGTGGATTGAGTCAGGTTGGTAGGTGTAGACTACCTGGTTCGGGTCCGCGAGACAATAGTAACCGATGGTTATAGACCTTGCATGACATGGCTCAAAATCTTTTGCAATGGCGCAGGTGCATCCTTTCTTTGTGCCTTATCAAATCCTGATCTTCTGAATTCCTCATCATCTCTATCTTTCTAAATTTACTTCACCGAATTATACTTCTTGAATAATACCTCCGAAACTTAGTCTTCTCCATAACGGTTAATATTTCTACGACATCTACCACTATGGGATTTCAGTTGACAATTGCGTCCCCGTCTTAATGTCAAGTTGAACTGAAGTACGTACGAAGTTCTACGTTGTAACTGACTGAATGATTACTCTTATAGTATATAGTTGTCATACAATTATTAAGTAACAAGATTATCAGGTCTATTTGTATATTCCTTCTATCATAAGTTTCTTTTGAACCCATAAACTATTATCGTACAATTTGCTATTCCTCTTTTGTTGCCAGTTTACTACTTACAGTCTCCCCTTTTACTCATAGCCACTTTTAGTTCATCTATTGTGCACAATTGCTATGCTCCCATAATGCGGGCGTAGGAAAGATTTGATTGTGACCGATTTGGTTACGTGTGCTTTTACGGATATGAGGGCGGATATCACTTCCTTGCTGCCCACACCGTGGAAAGGTGTTTGTCGAGGAACCTGAAAAGGAAATCGGATTAACGTTAGTCTGAGCGACCTGGACGAGTGACTGCAGAACCCAAGGAACAACTGCTTGAGACCAATTATCCACGGCCTTTTTATGGAAAGATTGGATAGTGTTAGCTACGCACTTCAAAAGGCCTTACCACCGGAGATGGATATCCGTGGGGTTAGGTGAGATGTGACATTTTTAGGGTCAACATCTTCTAAACCCTCCCTTCATTGTGAGAAGGCAACATCACTACAAATGCTGGTTGTCCAAGGAAAACATCTTACTGCTGTCACACCCCTCTGCAATCAGCAGTACGACTTCGCCCTCACACCTTGAGTAGCTACCTTTAGTCTCATCGTTCTCCTATCGACCTGCTTGACATGGTAGAACCTACAGAAACATATGTTCCAACCAATATAGCTCAGTTGGTTCATCGCACTAGGCAAGCCCAACCGTCACATCAAGCTAGCATCTACGGTCACGTAATCCGGTCTGGTTTTGTATGTATATAAATAAATACCTAAAATAAAATAACGATCCTAAATCTTAGACTAGGGTATCATTGGACTTGTATTTTTCTTCTGCATTTCAAAGCTACTTAGCATTAGACTAATAAGTCAAGTATAGCTTAGCAGTTTTCTTATCAAGACCATAATATGTTCCATAGCAAGTTGATGTAATGAAAAAATGATATGATATTTAAAAGACATTGTAATTATTCTTTTTTTTCTTATATTCTTTAGAGGTATTTATATTTTCCCATATTTACAATATCCTACTTTAGTCAAACAAAATCCATTATCACCTATTTATTCAGAAAATAAACAATTATCTAATAAATTATTAAAACATTTATTATACACATATAATTCATGTTGGAATGAAAATCAATGGAGAAATTATAAATTATTTAATGATTCATTCAATTTTCATTGTTATTCATCTGATGCATTAGCTTATTTTACAATCTCACCATTAGAACGTGTAAAATTTGCTCAAAATTGGTTTACAAATCAACAAGAAAACAAAAACAAACAAACATGTTAGTTAATAGTAGTAATGAGAAGAATTCAATTAGTTTTCATTTGAATTGAAACAAAAAACAAATTACACTGTAGATAGCAGCCCAATTGACAATGAGTGTTGACATTATCCTGTATGCGTAGAAACTCAATCCTACCTAATCTGTGTGTAAATGTTTGCTTTGTGAAATTCATTGATTGTTTGTTTGTGTTTTTCCCGGTCGGATTGCATTTAAACAATTTTGTTTTTGCAATGTGTAGGAGACGGGATCGAACTCTGTTGGGAAATGATGGAGGTATACGATAGACCACCCGAAAAGATCTAGATTTATCTACAATGTGACCACTATCTACCAGGTTTGCTAAGATAGAACTGCGTATTGTTTTTGACTGACCCTTCGTAAACCATGCTGGGAGATATTCACTCATTCGTTGTGTAAGTTGCCTGGAAGTACGCCCGATATAGCTATTTCCCAACGGAGTTCGATCCCGTCTTCTACACATTGCAGAAGCCATAGGAATACGCACATTCAACCCTAATTTTGTTTTAGTGGGATTTTTTTTAAAAAATCTAGTTTATATTTTGTGTTAATTTGACAGCCTTAAAATAATCAGAATTCTATAGATAGATAGATAGATTTCAATGTAGATTTTTATAAACATGTTTCTATTGTAGTTGATGGCATTTAGACAATTATTTTCATATTTAGATTTTTATTGTTGTATAATTTACACTTTGTTTTGAATTTATTATTAATAGTAGTCATAAATATCCTTTTAAATATATTTCAGTGTAGATTTTCTTTTCAGACAATATTTAATCAAATATTCAGTCATATGTTAACAACGTTAAAATTCTCGAATGCCATTGTGCGTCTGACAGTTCTCTGTCTCTCTCCGAATGCTCTCTCTCATAATGACCTTGCGTACATATATAATCATTGACATGGAAGCCTTACTCATCGGCGTTTCCTGTTATGTTATTCATGAAACTAATATAACTAAAAACCGGTAGGGAAAATTTGTAACTCAGGTGGATGATTAATTGCAATTTTGTTTCATAGCTGGATGTTTTTGTTGTAGAGCTTTCATTGATCTTTTTTTAACAACAACGACCAGAAGTATATTTGTCTGGTCAGAGCTTAAACTGATTTGATAGTGTGTCGCGGCATCATTTGAAACTTCAAAACTTCTGCGCATTAAAAAGCGATACGTAGAAATAGACAAGGGTAAAGTTCAACTACTGACTCTATTTGTTGTTAGAAGTAAAAAGGTCAAGGTTATAGTAAAACGTTGTTCTCCATGGTAGTTTTAGAAACAGAAACTATTATTGTACTAGGTTAAAGTCATAAAATCCACTCGGTAATTTCCAATCATAAATGATACTTTGACGGGAGACCGGATTCGGCTATCTTGATGACTTATGTGTACTTTATTGTCTGGAACATTTATCTCTTTAAGTCCTGCAATGTCAGGTATTTCTGTTCAAGATTTGTCAAAATAAATGCTACATATTAAATCCCAAGGGCTTAGTTGTACCATTAATTGTAATGAATTGTGATTGCAGAAATTTATTTCCCTGCAAGAACCAGTATTCTTCGTGCCATAAACTTCCATTAGAGGAACCTGACCACAGATGTCTTCGAACCATTGCTCGTATATCCTTCGACCACTGAGTAAGTGTAGCGCTGTTACTAAACGGTTACAAGGTAAGGATGGTAGACTCTGCACAAGCATTTTTTCAGGAACCAGCTCACTTGGGTGATGAGATTTCCAAGATGAGTGAGCGGTAGACAACCTCAACTACTTAAATCAAATCATTATTTTAGGCTCTCACACAGACCACTTTTGAAGAATCATTTTGCACTTGGAGCGGGAGAAACACATCCTAAACATGCTTGGATTACTGTTCAAGACAGTCAGAAGGCTTTATTTTGTAAGCATCTTCGATAAACAGGACAATGCCTTACGCCTATTCTAAGCGTAGCAAGATTTAAAATAGCACCCAAATAGTTGTCATAGGATGGTTCTGACAGATAATCTGTCAGTTTAACCATTTTGTAACCATTGCTCGTGTATCCTGGCATAAACCAGTAAGCAATGCTAGGTAAGGATGGCAGATCAATAGATGAAGTAGCGAAACTATATCACTTGAGGTGGTTGGGACATGTGAGTTACCTATGCCTAACAACCGACTGCCTCGACGATCTATGTCTTATGGTGTAGGAGTAGGGTAGAAGAAAGCTAGAAGCGGCCAAACCAAAACGGCACGAATCCATGAGGTCATTGACACTTGGATTAAGTCATGTTGGTAAGTGTCGACTACCTGGTTGGGCCCGCGAGATGATAGTATTCGACGGTTATAGACCTTGGATGCCATGGCTCAGGTGCATCCATGTGTTGTCTACTCTCAAATTATGATCTCAATTCATAACCTTTATCTCTCTTTTTTAAATTTATTTCACTGGGATTATTGAGGCTTACTGGACGTAGGAAGGAAACCTCTTAGGGCTCTACTTAATGATAATCAAGCTAAGGAAATATTTCAAGAGGAACTAGAAAAACAGTTAGGCGACCATGCAAGTGATTCCCATCCGGAGGCAGGTTGGAATGATATCAAAAAGGCTGTGGAAACAGCAGTGATATCTGCTAGCAAGGTAAACCATAAGGCTAGAATGAAGCCGTGGATCTCAGTATCATCCACCGATCTAATGGATCCTAATCTTTTGGATTAGTCAGCACCTCTACCTTTGTCTTTCTAACCTTATCTCACTGAATTATACTTCTTGAATAATATCTTCAAACCCTAGTCTTCTTCATTACCATTAATACCTGTACTATCACTATCACTATGGGATATGATTTGACATTTGCGTCTCTGTGCTGATGTGGCATGGCAACATGAACCTATGTACATACGTACAAAGTTCTACGTTGCAACTGACTGACTCACTGGGATTATACTTCTTGAATAATATCTTCGAACCGTAATCTATCCGATTACTGCTTATACTCCTATTACCTCTACAATTTTGGGATTTGAAGTGACAATTGTGTTTCTGTGCTGTGGTATGGCGGCCTGAATGGATGTACGTACGTACGAAGTTGTCGAATATTGGACGAGTTTTCAAGGGTATACGGAACTAAATTTCACGGCACCAAAGCGATGAGTCAACAATATGACACGCTTAGTAAGAGGAAATTATTAAAACTATTCGAAATCTAAACTCCTATAAAAGTTTAAATGCTTTAAGTAACCTTATTTCGGTTTTCGCACCTATGGCTCTTTCCAACATAATCCTACGTCATCCATCATTGCACATCATGGTACACGGTGGTCAAGCTTCGATAATACACGCCCTGATCATTTTGGTTGGTGAAAATTAATATTCAAACCTTCTGATTATAAAGAAGTAAGAGGTGAATTAGTTGTTCGGATTAGAAATGGTCTCAAGCAAAAATCAAGTTTAAAAAGTCAAGTATAACTGAATTTCCATATTGGTGTCTAAACTAAAGACATTAGTGTAAGCCTATAAGTTACTTAATCAGGTTTCACTACCTCTAGCTAACCGTATCATTTAAGTTCTATCTAAAAATAAAACAGAGCCTATTTTCTACATCTTGATAGATTTATTGAAATCCACCTCGGTCACCACCATATACTGTTTGTTTACACAATCTAGCGTAAGGTCTTGATAGAATTTAATTTTATCAGTCTACTAAGATAACAGTTAAATAGAATTCACCACAAAAATTGCTATCTACTAATACTTTCGGATTTCCTTGTGGAAAATACAAGAGTATCATCAAATAAAATCGCCTCATATTGTCATATTACATTCATACTAAGTAACCACGAATTGAAATGTACATGGTTTGAAAGACAAAAATGATAATTTACAGAGCAAGGTAATCACAAAGGCACATAAAATAATAAAAAAAGTTTTGCATACATTAAAACCTAGACTATTTATAGATTTGCACCGTAAACGAATTACATTAGAGTTCTGGTTTTGTAGGTGTGAAATTAAACTCCAGAGAAAGACGAGTCAATGCTGCCTTGAACTTCCCACTAACATGTGATACTGGACAGGATTATGCAAAAGGAAAATAACATACCAAAACATTGATCTTTGTTAAAATAATACTCTTCGTTTAACAGTGGTTGATTATTGTTGCCCTTAGAAATAACACTTTAATTTGAAGGACTTACAAAAGCAGCAGCAGCCAAAGCTTCCACAGGCGGTGTTACTTCTAGCTTGAAGCTTTGGAAAAAAATGTAGCTTGTTTGACTACCAGAACGCTCCACAACACAACCATAGCCATTATCATCTCGAATCTTTGAAAGAATCATATGCCACTTCTGCAGACGGTATTATAAAGGCTTAAATTACCTCGTTCGTTCCACCTTGACATTCATAAGTGAAAGTACATTTTATTCCATCCTGTTGTTAGATATATGATTTTTACGTGTAAACACTATACCCTTTCGATTGTCAATGAGTACCTCTTGCCACCTGGTTGTACAGAAAATTCCTTTTTTATGGACGAAGTTTCTCCAAAGATGCCATCTAAACAAATAACTCCTAGTAGCAAAAGAGACAACATGTCAAATGATTCATAAATGTGGTCATCAAGGTGTAAGCAGTAAAATCATCTAGGTCAATCAATGTTCAAAATATAATCCTAAGTGACTATCCAATATATATCTTCGCGAGCTAGTGTAAACTAATTGATTTCTCTGCACTCGATTCTTGTTCTTTCGGTAGGGTTCCAGGTGTTTAGTAGTGTACATGGATGAGGGTCTAGCCACTCGACTGTCTAATTCTAATCTGCTGGCAGTTGTTTGTGAGTTCGATGTCCCGTAATTTTAATAAGTACATTTCTTTCAGGGCAGTAGGGTTTCTGGCTACCAGTAGCTAGCACGTTACTGGGCCGGAGATCCGTTAGTTGCAATGTGGAGAATAAGGAGATAATTCTAATATTGATAAGAAAAAGATTTCAGAATTAAGTAAATAAATAGATAATTTAGTTTATTAGTTGTTAGTGAAGATTGTACGAGAGTACTGAATTGTAAGCAAGGTAGAGGAAACAGGGATAACAAGTGAGATAGAATAACTTAGTGATTGGGGTGGACGTCAATAATAACGACTAGCAAGTCTCAAGGCATGCATCAGGCAAAGCTTGTCCATGAAGGAGATGAGAATCCGCTTGTAAGTACGTGTTTATCAAGTCTCTTCTTAAAGCCATCAGCTGAGATGGCTGTGGTTACCTACACTAAAAGAGCATTCTAAGTTTCAAAGACTCCTAATGAGAAAAAATATGCACGAACCTGAGTATCCACTCTCTGATGCGCAATTTTTCGAGGATTATGTGTTGGAGAGAGATTACCTAGCGGCTTAAGTAAGCCTCTTCCTAGTAAGCCTTTTTATGTGTCTGGACTTTTGTTGAACCAGTCAGTGAATGGTTTTGAAACGGCTCCCTCGTGTGAAAGTTCTCAAGAGATAGTAACTCCGTATGTAGACCTGCAATCCAAGGACGTTGTGTTCGTGCTTTGCTTTTGTATTCCTCTGAGCTGTCTTAATCTGGATTGGAGAAAAACTAAAGGCATCTAAAAGATGGAGAAAATTTGCAGCTCAGGTGGTTCTCTGAGCTCAGAGAACTAAACACCACCACAAACTGAATCCATATCAAAGTCATTTCTTAGTATTCGAAACACCAAAACCAAATCACCTGTTGATCTTCGGTAGGACATATTAAGGGATTCCAACTTAGTACCCTCTCTATGTATGGTAGATAATATCCACTGATTCACCCTATATAGCAATTCTGTCCATTGCTCTTTACCTATATCCATGTTTGTGGTGCATGGCAATCCTTTTCTCAAACCATGTTGTTCACGGCTTAACAAGTTATTTGGTTCCCCACAGGTCATTATAGACACTTTCTTCCTAGTATTTCAACCACGACAACCGTTTGGCCGACTAGTCTATAGTCTGATGCGACTTGCTTTGGTCCAGTCTCATAACTCGGAGTCGTAAGTGAGTTCACTCATTTCACGGGTAACTCACCCTGATCACATGACACGTTAAATATCGTCATCAGTGAGTAATCGTTATGTTGTGTAGTCAGTCCGTCTCAAGTTTTACGGGTGTAGTTGGTACGTCTATGACTAACGTGCCTACGGCTTTTAGTCTGTCGTCTCAGTCAGACGCCATAGAGAGTAGCCAGTTTGGTGGCTTTATATTCGGGTACATTTATTTGTCCGGAAGAGGCTCCTGAATGAAAAATCTCAGCATATAGCTTGTCACTCCGTTTGGTCCTAAATTCACTCCACCAGTTAGTTCTTGTTCTAAAGTCGATGTACAATAACAGTCTCTTTCGCCGCTCGATAACAGATTGTACCAACTACTTTTCAGGGATTTGGAACAGAAATGCTTATTTTAGTCTTTTGTATAGTAAATTACAGTACCGAGTGTTAAAATGATGACACTATGATAGTTAGGGCTTTTTGGGAAATATGTACTATAATCAAATGTTTATGTGGAAGTTTTTTTCTTTAGTCTCCCAATAGTTTAATGTTGAACTGTGTTTTATTCAGTGACCAGACTTTTGTTCCAGTGTAATATCGTTCCAATGAATTTCAAATATTATTATCATGTGCTTGACTAATTTCAACTTAAAACTACTCTCATCTTACAAAGTAGTTGATACATTTTTAGGGAATACTTGCAAACGAATCCGAATTCGTCGTCCATAGACACTTCTTGCCGTCCACTGAAGAAAACTTAATATAATTTAAGATGCTTATATACAATCGAGCAACTGCTTGCTTATAGTCAGAGAGTCGCGTATTAGTTAACCGTCATTTCATTTGGTAGTCACAGTGTGCGGCCAATATGAAAATGTTAAAGCAGTTCCCCTGATGTGGTTCATCGATTTTAGCATTTCAACTGTCAGGATCAATCATTTAGTAGAACTGACAAAGAACTGAAAAGTAATTTCACATGTACTAACTTATTCAGCGCATATTAAGCTAACTGTCGAAAGCCAAAAACATCCATTCTAGTTCATCGTCAACACAGTGTTCTCGTTAGCTTGTCTCGCAAGCTAACTTATCGGTATCTAAACCAGCTAGAAATACTGGTCTACACTCCCCTTTGCTAAGAAAATTATAATAACCGGTTAGTATTTAGTGACTAATTTATTTTACGTAACTTTTAACACATGCCACCTCAGCCGTTCAAGTTCGTGCCAACAAAAGAAGCAAGCATATTTAACAAGAGTTTGACTTTTAGTTTACGTAGACTTTTCATCGTAGTTGCTCTGCGAAAGCTAATGGCAATGACCAAAAATCTTTTCTTCATTCTTAATGAACGTTGAATTCTTCAGTCTATCCAGGGATGCTCTTTTGTTTGGAACTGTCTAAAGTACAAATGGTTGGGTAACTTGGTTGTATAACTACAGAAAATGAGTTCAAGCTTCTTCTGTCAGTGCATCAGAGAAAGTTGTCCAATTTCCATTGGACGATACAGAGTTAACCACCTTCATATCAGTCTTCCACATGTTAGGACGGATCGGCGCATCCCTTTGACAAACCTCATCAGCAATAAAACTCAATACGATAACCGTACGATCGCTGTTCTCTGAAGGTGGAATGAACTTTATAGAGCAAACATCATCAGTGTGAGTGAAAATATATAGGTGAGTTTTGCAAGCCAAACCTGGTGGTACCTGATGTGCTGTGATAAAGTTGCGGTTTCTGCCAGTTTGCGATCCATATAAGTGCTTGATGACCCTTCTTCCAGGTTTCCTTAGCTTGTAGAACTTGCTTTAAATGTACCTGTTATAGGGCCTTCGCATGTGTTCGGAAAGGCTTTTAGTTTATTAGAGGGGAGGTTATTTACCTCATATTATAGACTGTACTATAATACACAGAATCTATGTTACAGAAAAATTAGCATCAGCAAAGCCACAAGCCTCATCTAAAATGAACCTACAGATCCCTCTCAGTAAGACTAACACATGCAGCATTAACCCTACGAAGCAGGCGACAAAGATAGCTGCGACTAGAACCAACACACTGATTAAACTGCTGGCTTTTTTGAATTTCCAAGTTCCTGTTAATAGTACTCAGCAGCGTCTGTGTTAGAAAGCTAAACGGCAACACCACACATCGCGAAATGCTACAAACCAGGGAGATGTACGTTGTTCAGTTGATGTCCATCAACAACCCATGGCAAAGTACATGTACATGATAGTCTCGCCGATTGAATGCAATACACGAGCATAATACCTGTAGAGGCTAGTTCTCATAGAACTGTTGATCTCAGTTTGTACAGCTTGTTTGCTGCAGACGTGCATCAGTTGGTGAGATGAATCGTCGAAAGTCTCTAAAGTAACGTAAGAGAACTGAGGAGTGAACTGTGAGTAGTCAGGAATATGTGGTTTCAGATATACCTAAAGTCCAAAATCACCACTCAAAAATGGCCACCCGGCGACTGCTAGGATTGGACCATACAAGCGGCTGCACAGAAAGATGCAAACAGGTTCCCCCAGAACCTTTACGGTGACGTTGGTTGAAAAACAATCTAATATTTCGTGGTATGCCGCCCAATTATGAACCACGGTATCTCATACAGACTTAGAAACAACGCATATATTCTACTAACGGCAGAACACAAAAAATCATTGCGTTACAGTTTATTCGTTACAAGATACCGTCTACTGTGGAACAGACTACAAATTATTATGCATACCTGTGACACGATCACCAGTTTCAAGAAACTAGTAACGTTGCTATTAGGCCTTAGAGAGATTTATCAACTATTCCCAGAACTCACACTAAGTCGGGAAGCACTATTTTATTATCCACCGAATATTTAGAAGAACCGTAGAAACTAACAACAGACCAGGAATATATTGCACCTGCATTACCGTACACACAGGAATCATGAAACGATTGACGAATCTCCCTACTTCTTCTTCTTTTAGTTTACATTTCTAGTGGACAGATAAACTGAAAAACCTGTACATGCTGCTCAAACGCTGTCATTTACAAGGAGTTCGAACTTCCTGTACCATAGTGAGTTATCTCTTGTTCACGTATTAGGAGTTTAATAAATTTTTATTTCCCTAATTCATTGATACCCAGACACCTTGCATTCTTACGTATTCGTCTCCTTACTCATGAATGTTCAACACTATTTTTCCTCATTTTCTTTCATCGACTGCCTATTTTCCATTAACAGCAGTATGATATATTGCATGGATATTTGTTCTAACGTACAGAAGCCAAAGTTGTCTGGTTTGCTTGTAACGTGGAGCGGGTAGAGAAATTGTGTTCCAAGACAGTGTACGAAAAATAGGGCTTAGACTAGAACAGTTATGAAAACATACCTCTAAATGTAAGAGAGACTACCATCAGAAAAGGAAGTGGGTAGTGTAGCGATAACCCTAATCCACCCATGTCTGTTGGGTAGCGTTACTTTTTCACGTCAGTCACGTCTGAGACTCATGTTTGTAAACTTGTACTGATTTCACTTCCTACAGAGAAATCCTATTATAGGCATTTGGACATTTACGGTGAAAAGAGCTTGCTCATGACTTCTTGAGTTACATTGTTGAAAAAAACAATAACTGAAATATCACCAAAGCATCAGATCACTGTGCCTTCATTATTACATTCTGTAAATCAGTATTATTTCTAACAGTTTAGTTCTTTTGAAACTCCTCTATTCATATGATTATTGGTTTACTTGTTGTCTTACTAGTGACTTGCCTTCATTACCTACATAAGTGTAGGAGTACAGTTAGTGCTCTAATACAGAGGAAGAAAGGTCTGAGTAATCATTCCTTTGTTTTATCCAGAACGGTATCTTCTGATTCATGACCCAGCTCTAAACAAGGATATTTTCACTTCTCCTCTTCACCCCTTTCTCTATAGTTATCTTTTTCAGCACCACATCATTCTCCTTAAAAGAATGTCATTACACATTTGGCACTTCTTGTTATATACAGACTCGTATTGACTTGCAGTGATGATCAACCAGCCTCGGTTCGTCGCGATAGAAGTGATAACTGTTGTATTGTACGTTGCGAGTGTGAAAAACATAATCTACAATTTTATGTGTAGAATTTTTATCCTCCAAAAGGCCGGTCTTTCTTGTGAGATATTTATTTAACTGAAATACTTTTACAGAGAAAATGTTAACAATTTTAATATCATGTACTTACCTATAAATTGGTACGCCTCATATAACATTGTAGAATCCTTTTTGAATATTTTGTTTTTTGGAAAATCCCTCCATGTTTACATATTTTTGTCATGACATGACGGACTTTTTCTGTTGACGTTTTTGGTACTCCATTTGATTCCATTTTGAGATTTTATCATTGTATATTGTTATTATTTCTATATTTTGTACTTATATTGAAGTTTTTATGTTGCTTCTGAACTGTATATGTGTTGTTTAAATTTGATCTTTAATATGGCTACAGCCATATTTGGATTGATACTGTGGCGGTTGGATTTAACGTCACTTAGTCCCTTCTAATCTCGGATACTCCTCGGAGTAATTGTGACTTGGAAAGTGCATCAAAATTCAGGTATTGAATTGTATTTCCATTTTTAATATAATATAGACCGTTTTCTATTAGAATTATTGTGTTTTTAACGTTGGGTTGGGAGATAACGCGTTCGAATTGCACTTACTAGAAACCATTTGAACTGCTACGCTAGAAAATCCATCTACAAACGTGTTGTTATATGAGTACTAATTAATATTATATGAGATATTATTTCAGCTGAAGTAAGAAATATAATATTGGAAAACTCACTGAAACTGACTAGGTCTAGGACGTATGTCATGCTGACCTTGGCCTAGTTTATCACATCTCGAGACGAAACATAGAAACAGAAACAAATGAGCCATGAGAAAGACCTTTGCCTAAGGGTTTTAACTTATTGAAATTGAGGAGCGAAATGATCTTCCAAACATTCCAGGCTATACAAGAAAGTGTTTGACACAAATACTGACATACTGTTCAAATGCTTGCAGCCTACTACACAAAATAGCGGAGCTCGAAACGTGATGGTCACAGAAATCCTTGATATCACCATCATTTTAGAAACATGTCCGACTTCAGAAGCATGTAATAATAATAATAATATTTCATAGGATAATGAAATTAAAGGGCTCGATGTTAGTCATAGAGTGTTCCTTAAACCTTTAGAGAGTAGCAACCGCGAGGTTATCTTATTTCGCATCAACGCGAATATGGTCTGTCAAGTGAATGCGCCGATCCGAATTCTCGACGCCTATGTTACTTCCGTGAGCACAGTGTGAAATTAGGCTAGTTATCATTCAGCAACCACCTATGCAGAGAAACAAAATCCCAGTAGTAGACTTCCATTGCCATTACCGCCCGATTACCACACAAATGCTGATCTGCAGGGCAGAGAGTTCTTTACTTACTTCGAATAACGTTTGAAGGAAATCATTTGTTCTAAAATATAAGGTGATTCGCAGTAGCCTAACGGGCGCTTGACTCTATCCACAGGGATCAGATACTTTTCTGTTGCCAAAGAGAGGTCGATTCATTGACGGATGGAGAACATACGTGTGATTACGACACTTCTACATGCTAAATGAGTCACGTCAACTGGACCGGTAAATTGACAGTGTCAGATCTTTTGAGTAATAAAACAGGATAACAAATAAATGATTTTCCATGACGACTTAGATTAATCAGTTAGGCGATCTCAAAGTTGGGGTTTTCAAATTAATCCTTGTAAGTTCGCGGATGCATAGTGGATTCGAAAATGGTCTCTAGTTTGCAATCAGCGGTATACAGGAACGGAGAGACCCAGGAGGAACATTGATTCATGACTTGAAGACTGCTATGATATACTGAGCAATCATTACCGAAGGCTGTCTAGTATTTTCGTCACTTCATCACGCAATCAAATGCTCTAAGGAAGATAGGTTTTGGATTTCATACATGACGTATATGGTACCTCCTTTAGAGTATTGAATCCACGGAGCCAGACTAAATTCGAATCTCCCAGTGGCTGAATCGTATGAGATGTGTTAGTTGTTTACCCGAAAATGAAACAGGTGTTTTAAAAGCTATAGGACTTATTAGTTTCTTTAAGTAACTTACCTAATCCTAAAGATAAGCCTAAACCTCTCCCCTTAAATTATTGTAGATCTCCTTTGGCATTCTGTTTCTCAAATGACGATCTGGGTGTCAAAATATCTTATCTTACCATCTCTGTCGAACTAATCATCTCTGGGGCAGTGAAGGGAGGTCTAACAAACGCGATCCAATAAACGCGGAGTGAGATTCCGGTTTCGAACTGAGTGGAACGCCTTACCCGAAAAAGTGGTATCAGCCCCATCAGTGAACACTTTCAATAAGCAGCTGGTTCTTCAATGAAAAACAGTTTGGAAGAATGAACACAGGTAGACAGACCTACTATCCAGACCACTAAGGTAATCTATCTCACTTATTATCCCGGTTTCCTCTACCTTGCTTACACTTCAGTAATCTCGCACAATCTTCACTAACAACTAATAAACTAAATTATCTATTTATTTACTTAGTTCTGAAATCTTTTTCTTATCAATATTAGAATTATCTCCTTATTCTCCACATTGCAACTAACGGATCTCCGGCCCAGTGACGTGCTAGCTACTGGTAGCCAGAAACCCTACTGCCCTGAAAGAAATGTATTTATTAAAATTACGGGACATTGAACTCACAAACAACTGCCAGCAGATTAGAATTAGACAGTCGAGTGGCTAGACCCTCATCCATGTACACTACTAAACACCTGGAACCCTACCGAAAGAACAAGAATCGAGTGCAGAGAAATCAATTAGTTTACACTAGCTCGTGAAAAAGCTATTGGATATTGGATATTGGTATCTTAGCATTGAAAGATCCTGTTTGACTACTCAAGGTCGCTTGAGAATGACACATTTATATTCACTTTTCTGCAAAAAAGATATATCACATGAACCAGTGTGTTATCTATGTATAAACATTTTCAAGACATTTCTATAGAATGCTTCGTAGATAAATGTCATCTCTAGTGGATACGTTAAGAAAAGACTATCCTTTGACGCTTAATTTTTTCATGTGTTGTTCTGCAGGTTTTCTCGCAGAAACAAGTTAGTTACTTTTACATAACTAAGATTGCCTAGTCACTTACCCTTTAGACACTCTTAAAACTCGAATCCAGGTTTATGCAGAACTAAATAGCTCATCGTACCCCGGTGTTATCAAAATCTGTTCATCTGTAATTAAAAATGAAGGTCTGTTTCAACTGTGGCAAGGATTATCTCCATCACTTTTCAGACACACAGGTAAGTGCTAGAGGAATAGTGCGTGGTTGGTGTGTTGAGCATTTTAGATAAGGTAAATACATATTAGCATAATCTGATAATACGTCCGGCTTGTCGTAGTCTTCCACCAATAATGTAGTGTCTTTACCCTCTTTTCTTAGTGACCATGTTTCATACTTTGAAAGCAGACCATTGGACCAGGTGTGAAATCAGCCTGGTTTTCTAGAGTCTGCTCATCACGAACTGTACTTAGGCGTTGAACTATTATTGAAACTAGTATTTTAGACTTTTTATTAATTGTTATGCATGATCTAATCTTTCTGATTATGTGCAATTTGCGATTTGACCATGATCTTAATTCTAGATATAATCGCAGCATAGCGCTTTCAATGGGCCGAATACTTTAATATTAATCTTAACAATAATATCAATACTAATAATAATATTAAAACTTTAACATAAACCGCCTCCTACTACATTGAAAAGTTCTATCGATTGTAATCTTGAAGTTTATCTATGAAATATTGAATATCCTAATTTTCATTCTTTGAATATCTTGGGTTTTTTATGTACAATGTTATTTTTTCATAGTTTATACGGGAGCCAGAATGCCAATTTATGAAATTATTCGTCAAGATGTTTTCCACTTACCTCCCGCTAGTCATTTCACTGTAAAATCTACCAAGGATTCTTCATCAGGTGTGTATTTCTTAAAACATTCATCATCTACCCACCACAGAAAACAAGTCAGAAGTTATCCTACAGCAGAAACTATGTACTACGGAAAGGACAAACACTAAAGTAATTCAGGAGAATCAATCAGATTTTATTATTCATGCTGCTTTTGCCGGGATCATATCTGGATCTTTTGCTCAGTTTTTATGCAGCCCCATAGATCTAATTAAGGTGAGTCGTAAATTTGTTCTTTTTTGTTTGGGGATTAAGTTTTCATCACATGCTGTTTGACGCATGCAAAAGCATTTCAGATCTTATGGCTTGAATATTTTATTTCACCATACAGCTATATGACAATCACTATCTCCTGAAGCAAAAGTGGATTTTTTTTAAATAAACGAAGGATGCAACCGGCATCTTAGTAAGATACTGGCGTGACCTAATTGAAAATATATACCATTATTAGAGGAATGTGCATGACACCTTGAATATATACAGTGTAAATGAACGCATGATGCGTTTATTACATAAGCTTAACTCTCTTCTACACCACATCAGTCTTTCTTGAGATGAGAAGAAGAACAATCAACTTCCCTTTCTAGACTAGATATACTTAAAAATAAGTGAGAACATAGTTCAACAAAAAAACTATTCGTTTTTAAAAACCAACTTGGCAAGAAAAATTATCATATCGAATGCTTGAAATATTTTGAAAATCTTGACCATATATTATTTAACACCACTGCAATTTCACTGCCTTCCACTTAAGCATAAACCTGACTAGCATAGTTTTGTAAAACTCCTCTATTTTATTTCACATGAAAAACAAACTACCTATAAACATAATTGTACAACTTCAGGAAAGTGATATCGTTGGAAAGAGAATTTTCTTCATTGTAATATCTTCATTCTTTTTATTAAATAAGTAAATTGTTTTTTTTTTCAAAGTTTATCTTAAGGAAAAAAACTAAAAACAATTGGGTAAAGAAAATTTCACTCATTTTTCGACTAATTCATTTTATCAAATCGTAAAAGTCTATAAATTAAATAAAAGAGAATGATACCATTCGAAATGCTCTCATATGGCCATGTGCGTATAATCTTTGAGAGGAGTAAAGGTTATTGTCCAACCCGCGTTTAAACTGAAACATTGGGTACGGTGGATTCACACTGGAGTAGTTGGAAAACCCTGATTCTAAATTATTGGTGTACATAGGCTGCTGGATCCTAAGAGCATAGCTAGCCTGTTAACCCATCGTTTCTCGCTGTTTGGCATAAGACTGCATCTTCTGATGATCCTGCCTTTCCTTGTTGATTAGACCTACTGTTTAAAGCCTCGGAGACTGGTCTCCTAAACAATCAGCCTTTTTGGTTTGGGCACCTGGACAGTATCTCAGCTCACTCATAAATTCAGTGATTTATGTAGCGTATAAATATTAAGATTCCCCTTTGTACCAATATTCCTGATCTTGAACAAATAAACAAATTTGTTTGTCCTTAATTACCACTCTTCAGAATTTAAGTTATTGACTTTTTGTTGAGAAATATTAAAAAATTTAACGTGTGCATTGAAAATGGAATTTAAAAGAAAACCAATCGGTTTATTAAAAGTTGTGCTTTTATGATTTCGTTTAGGTTCGGTTACAAACAGAAAGCAATTACATTTCACAATTACATCTCAATGATTACAAACCTCCTAAACATACTGAAATGCCTACTGGTCACCAGTAAGTAAGTCTAATAAGTTCAGTATGAATTTTGATTTTTTTTATGATGTTAACTGTATGAGAATTCAGCGGTCATCAACTCCGTAGGATGCCTAATGTTTTAGTATTTTACGGTGAGTGTGTGCTGTTGGATTTGCGTATTATAGTGATTATATTCAAGGTTAGGGCAGTGTGTGAGTAATGATACTGATAGAAAGTGAAAGTGGGGAAAGAAGTTTATTGATCGTGTATCTGGAAACCCTGATGCTGCTTCATGGCGTCTCACTGGTGTAGGTATAGCATTGATTCCTAGGACAGAACTAGCTCTCCTCCACTGGACCCAACTAGATCACATTGCCATTAGCCACCAATGGAGAGGTTTCGATAGAGGACCGTCGCTCGTTCTGTGGCACATGTCTAGATTCAGATCATGCCCTAGTGCGAGCACCTATTTGTCTGAGACTTACCGGACGTAGGAAAGACATCGGAATGAAACCTCTTAGGGTTATACTTAATGACAGCGGAACTATGAATATGTTTCAGGAGCAATTAGAAAGACAGGCGACCATGTTAAGTGGTTCCGATCCGTAGGCAGGTTGGAATGATATCAAAAAGGCTGTGGAAACAGCAGTGATATCTGCTAGTAGAGTAAACCGTAAGGCTAGAATGAAGCCGCGGATGTCAGTAGTATCCACCGAACTGATAGATGCTCGTGAACTCATCTCACCTGACTCTAAACATGATGAAGAGCGAAGTCAGCTTAAGCGCAGACTGATAAAAAGACTACGAAATGATCGCGAACAGTGGTGGGAGGCGAAAGCCAGAGCGATGGAAAAGGCAGCGGCGATAAGCAACAGCAGACAGTTGTTCCGCCTCATAAAAGAAACCGGTATTATGAATCCGAATGTGAGTGAGACTATCTCGGAAAAGGGTGGAACTATTATTCATTCTCAATCCTGAAGATTGGATCGACGTGCATAACACTTCAGGGATCAGTTCATCTGGCCTTCAGCAACACTTTGATTACCCACGATCTCCAGTCATCCCGAATGGCAAAGCGATATAAGTCCTGCGAATGTTTGTGAAGTTGAGAAAGCTATAGGAAATCTGAAGCGAGAGAGAGCAGCAGGTCCTGATAGATTGACCCCTGAGATTTTTAATGATGGTGGTCCAGTTTTAGCAGCTAGATTGACTGAGATCATAGGTAAAATTAGGGAACCGCGTAATCCCATCCGACTGGTCTCAGTGCCTGATTGTCCCAATTTATAAAAAAGGACAAGTCTTCTTGTGACAATCACAGTGGAATAAGTCTATCAAATATAGTTCCTAAATCCTTAGACACCTAAGTGGAGCTCGTGATGAGCAGACTAGAGAAAACCAGGTTGGTTTTCGACCTGGACGTGGCTGTATAGACTACATCTTCACACTACAACAGGTCTTGGAACATAGGCACACATTTAGGCGTACGACGATAGTTTTCTTCCTGGACCTTAAGGCAGCATTTGACTCTGTGAAGCTTTTAATTTTCGGACCCTGTGCAAAATAGGGAACCAGGCTTCATTAGCTAGTACTCTGGAATCTCGAGCGATCGATGTATGTTGCATCTCCGAAACGCGCATACAAAATCCGAGTAAAATCATCAATTTGATTTCACCTAGTGCAGATAGAGACACAGAACGGTTTACGCTTCTTGTTTCTGGAAGCCCTGATGCCGCCTCTCGTGGCCTCGCTGTGGTAGGTATAGTATTAAGTCCTAGGGCAGAACTATCTCTCTTAGACTGGATTCCGATAGACAGTCGCTTATGCGCTGTCCGACTAAATTGGATGGTACGGACTCGGAACGATAGGGACACTCGCTGTTGCCTCTTCATCGTATCTGCCCTACACTCTCGCTGACTGTAATTCAGATGACATGAAAGATAAGTTTTATAGAAACCTCTCTAAACTTGTCCAAAATCTTAAGTGCTCTAATATAATAATAATGGCTGGTTACTTCAACGCTCAAGTAGGTAGACACAGCGAATAGGAAAGACACCTTGGTGGATGCTTTGGTGTCGCGGCTCAAAGGACAGATAATAGCGACCGTCTGCTGCAGCTCTGCTCAGATAACTGCCCATTCTTAGCAAACACTAACTTTACGCATACGGTAAAACATCTTTTGACCTGGGCGACCCCCCAAAGTCGTCTCAAACCTGGGCTCAACTAAATCACATTGCTATCGGCCACCGATGAAGAGGTTCGATAGAAGACTTCCGCTCTTTCTGAACCACTTGCTTAGATTCAGACTATGCTCTAGTGTGAGGTTAGAGAAAAAATACCAGCACAAAGAAATTCTATTTTATCAAAAAATGATACAAAAAGCATTAGATGTCACGAATTGAAATTACGTTCTTTAAGTTGGGCGATTGAATGATGATAAATCAATAATGATTATTTTTTTGACGTCGACAATATCATTAGCACTAGATTAAGATAAAATTTATGATAATTTATCCACAAACGATAATCTAACAGATGTGTTTGTGTAAACAGTTAGGGATAAAAAAAGGCGGCTTATATCTTCAACCGAATATCTTTCGCAACTGAAGCAACCTTAATTTTTAGATAATATTTGACTTATCTTCACTTGTACCATTTTATCGTTTGATTTGTATAAGATTAATTGATAACGATACACTTTGCGTAGTAAGCTCAATAATATGATTATAGTTTCGGACATGCCTTCGGACAGTTGGTTTGTTAGTCGTGTAATGAGCACTTACCAACATGATTGATTCATGTTGGTAGGTGGAGACTATCCGGTTCAGGTCCGCGAGACGATAGTAATCGATGGTTAGAGACGTTGAATGACATGACTCAAAATTGTTTGCAACGGCGCAGGTGCATCCATTTTTGTATCCTTTCAAATCCCAATCTTCTGAATTCGTCATCGCCTCTATCTTTCTCTTTCTAAATTTATTCCACTAGGTTATACTTCTTGAATGATATCTTTGAACCATAATCTTCTCCATTAACGCTAACACTTCTACTACATCTACTACTATGGGATTTGAATTGACAGTTGCATCTTTGTGTACTAATGTGATATAGCAACTTGAACTGATATACGTACGTATGAAGTTCAACGTTTTAACTGACTGACTGAACAAAGACTGCAAGACCGAATGGAATAGTAGTATAGTATATTTAGAGAAGACAGTTTAATAACAAACTATATACATCCAATCTTTCATGTAGAAAGCGAACAGATTATTGGCTGTCTGATTTCACATATCCTCTGGTCTTCAGCACATTTTATTCACCTCATGCATTGCAATCCCCAGACACCTCTCTCTCTCTCTCTGATAGCAACTTCTGAGCTACACTGCTACATACTAATACCATTAAGAAACTGCGTTGCGAGTAGTATACAACACAGTGGGTAAAAGAAACATTTCTTACTTTCTTTCGAAAATCAATCAATTAATATGTTTACCCACTTTTCTGTATATGAGGTATGATGTAGTATGTCTTCACCTCTGTCATTTTGCTCCGAAAGTAAAATCAGCTAGCGTTTTCTAAAACGTTCTCAACTGTATTTTCTTTTCAAACTGTTCAATTAATTCTTTTATATTATTGTATTCGTAATTAATTTACTTCGAAATAATTTAATTTGCTCTAACATTCAGACGCTTAAATTTCATACGTACAACTAAGCAACTTATTTCTGAAGGTGGAATTATTGGATTGTGGCGTGGAGGATTACCTAATGTACAACGTGCAGCTCTTACAAATATGGGTGAAATGACCACCTATGATGCATCGAAACGTTGGTTTGCTGTACGTTTTCAATTAGAAGTGAGTTGTGCTGAAAATGTATATTTATTATCTGTTTTTTTTTGAAATCATGAATCGATCAATGTTAGACCATCATTAGAAACCTGCGAGTACTGGACGGCCGTTTCGTTTTGGTATGGGTCTCATCAGTGGCAGTGCACATCCACAACTGAATAGAACTAAGTTATTGTGACTTATTTTAAAAACTAACCACCAGTAGAGTTCAACCCTGTCGAATGTAAGCAGTAACTACCGAAGACAAATAGGTTTGGTCGCGCCAAATCCTTAGATTGATCTGAGTTAGACATTACCACCGTTGAATGCTGGCCCAGTGGTCCAGAGGTTAGGTGTTCGCGCTGAAGGCCGGAGGTCCGGGTTTCAGATCCAACGAGTAGCTGAAGTCGCAGATGTGCACTGCCACTGATGAGTTCCATACCGGGACAAAACTGCCATCCAGTGCTTCCAGGTTTTCAATGGTAGTCTAAGAATGATTGATTTGTGATTTCAGTGTATAAAACCGATGATCTTAATGACTCGAAATGATGTAAGTACTTTTCGGTGATTCAATAAGTTGTCAAGAATGTTGAATTGAATTTTTTATACTTTAACCTGTATATTAATCGATAAAATTTTATACACTGTAATCAGCGTGTAAATGGACCAAATTATAAAATATTTACAACACAAATAATAAAATTTCTGGAAATATATTTAATTTTTGATAATTAAAAATAATTTCTATTTCAATTCTACTGAGAAATTCTAAACGAAACAAATTCGTTCATTTGTATTTTAGAACAACACAGATTGATATTCTTTTTGATTAGATTGTCATCAGGCTTTACTCTCTAATGTACATGAATATGTTTATGTGAAAATGTTAAACCAATCAAGGCAATTTGTGAGTCAATCACCACAATGAAATGAAATAGATTACGTCACTATAGGCAAAAGTACAAGTTGATAGTAGGAAGACAGAGGTGTACTGATTGTAAGTAAGAAAAATAAAATACAATAACAAAAGTTTTATGAAGAGTAGGTCGAACCTCGTGAATAAATAGATTTAAAATAATCATTACAAAACAATAAAACCATCACGTAATAAGAAGTGTGTACATAATTAGATAGTGAAGAATATTTTAGTTTCCTGAATCTTCCCATGTGAGATGCAAGTACATACAGCTGCGCCACGAGTCCCAAATTAGAATGAAATGTATGTCTCAGATTGTAGTGCACTGCTCTACCACCATCCACCTTTGTACAAATTTGTACTTCAAATTATTTTGTATACGTTCAAAAATTGTGTTACACTTGTTATTGATATCAGCACATATATTACTGTCATATCTTACAGTTGGGGCATGTGTTACGTATGGCTAACCACCGACTGCCTCGACGAGCTATCTTTTGTTGTGTAGGAGTAGGTTGGAAGAAAGCTAGGGGTGGCCAGACCAAAATATGGCAGAAATCCATGAAGTCACTGACAAGTGGACTGAGTCATGTTGGTAGATGTAGACTACCTGGTTGGGGTCCGCGAGACGAAAGTCATCAATGGTTAGAGATCTTGAACGACATGGCTCAAAATCGTTTGCAATGGCGCAGGTGCATCCACTCTTTGAGCTCTCTCAAATCCTAATCTTCTGGATTCGTCAGCACTTCTACCTTTGTCTTTCTAACCTTATCTCACTGAATTATACTTCTTGAATAATATCTTCGAACCCTAGTCTTCTTCATTACCATTAATACCTCTACTATCTTTATCACTATGGGATATGATTTGACATTTGCGTCTCTGTGCTAATGTGGTATGGCAACATGAACTTATGTACATACGTACGAAGTTCTACGCTGCAACTGACTGACTGACTATCTTATAGGAGTATACAGATTTTTTTCAAATTAAACTTGTCACCTTAAAGATAAAGGACTATTGTTAACTAAATTACGCGTTAAAGTGTTTTCCGTTTTTTTTCTACTCTTTCGAAATGTATTGTAGGATGGTACTCTACTTCAAGCGTATGCATCAGTTGTATCTGGTTTTGTTGCTGCAGTACTCGGGACACCAGCTGATATGATTAGAACACGAATCATGAATCAACGTATTACAACACCAACCACATCAACGTCGTCATCAATAAATGTCAATGATCAATTATATAGCGGAATGATTGATTGTTTTCGTAAAACTGTTCATAATGAAGGATTTTCAGCATTGTATAAAGGCTTCTTTTTAATATGGGCACGTATGGTAAGATTCAGATAGAAAGAAAGACATTTTTAAGTATTTCTCAGACGGAATTTAATTTGCTTATTTTATTTGAACGCGCAAGCATTGGTACAAACGTGCACATAGATACACACAAATTAATGAAGTTCTACATGGGCTTGGATACTATCCAACTGCCCAAACCGAAACAGTTGTTCTTCTTAGATGGTCGTCACTCCTCGAGTCTTTGACTCAGATGTCTAATCCACAATGCAGTGGAGTGACGCTAAATGTAGTCCCGTCGTAGCCGGTTCATACTCTATTCACATTATGTCAATTAGGGTTCCTTAGCCAGGATCCAAGTTGCGTCATTCATTTTACCTTAACATGCCAAAATAAAGAAGCAGCTCGATTAACTCTTCGTGTATCTAGAAGCCCTAATGCTGCTTTTCGTGGCCTCGCTGGTGTAGGTATAACATCAAGTCCTAGGGCAGGAGTATTTCTCATAGAGTGGATCGCAGTTGATAGTCGCTTGTGCGCACTGTCTGACTAAACCAGACAGTAAGAACTCAAAAAGATAGAGACACTCGCCGTTGCCTGTTTGTTGTCTCTGCCTACGCTCTAACTGACTGCAGTTCAGACGGGTTGGAGGATGAGTTTTACAGAAAGCTTTCGGACCTCCTCCTTTGATGTAGTGATAATGGCTGGTGACTTCAATGCTCAAGTAGACAGACTAAGTGAAAATGAAAGATATCTGGGTGGATCTTATGGTGTTGTGGCTTGACTAACAGATAGTGGCTACCGTCTGCTGCAGCTATGCTCAGATAACCGTCTAATTCTAGCGAACACTAACTTTAAGCATAAGGAAAAACATCTGACCTGGTGAGCTCCAAAGCTGTACCGACACTGGACACAACTAGATCACATAGCCATCAGCCACCGATGGAAGGGTTTGTTAGAGGACTGTCGCTCGTTCTGGAGCACTTGTTTAGATTCAATTCATGCTCTAGCGTGAGCGCGTATTTGTTTGATGCTTACTGGACGTAGGAAAAACATCGCAAGGAAACATCTTAGGGTTTTACTTAATGATAGCAGAGCTTTGAATATATTTCAGAAACAATGAGAAAAACAGTTAGGCACCCTTATACTAAGTTATGCCGACCCTGAGGCAGCTTGGAAATGATATCCAACAAGCTATGTAAACAGTAGTGATATGTGCTAGCAAGGTAAACTACAAGGTTAAGGAGAAGCGGTGAATTTTATTAGCGTCTATCGCATTGATGGATACTCGAGAACTCTTACCGTCTGGCTCTGAGAACGATGAACAGCGGACTCAGCTACAGCATACGCAATGGTTGCTAACAGCGGTGGATAGCGAAAGCAAGAGCGACTGAAAAGGCAACGGCGATAGGCAACAGTAGACAACAATTCCACACTTATTGAGAATACCGGTATTAGGAATCCGAGTGTAAATGAGACTATTTCGGAAAAGGATGGTTGTATCGTTCCTTCTCAACTCAGGAGATCAGATCGATGCTCAGAACTCTAGGGATCAATTCAACTAGGCTTAAGCCTTACTTCGGTTGACCATGATCTTCAGTCTACCTGAATGGGAAAGAGTAGTCAGTCCTCCGACTCTTTATGAAGTTGGGTAAGCTATAGGAAATCTTGAGCGGGGAAGAGTAACGGGTCCTGATAGATTGAACTTAAGATTTTTATTGAGGGCGGTCCAATCTTTGCAGTAAGAATGACTGAGATCTTAGGTAGAATTAAGGAACTGGGCTTAATCCCATCCAAACGGGCTCAATCCCTGATTGTCCAAATTTACAAGAAAAGACAAAAGGCCACTTGTGACAATCATAGCGTAATCAGTCCAATTAATATAGTGTTTCAATTGTTAGCCTCAATAATACTTCGACGCCTAACGAGAGCTCGTGAAAAACAGACTCGAGAAAATCAGGCTGGTTTCCGACTTGGACCACATATTCACACTACAACAGGTCCTGGAACACAGACACACATATAGGCGTCCCACTTTAGTTGTCTTCCCGAACCTTAAGGCGGCATTCGACTCTGTTGATCGTGACGTTCTATGGCAGTGTCTGTCATTAAAAGGTGTACCAGAGAAGTACCTTAACCTTATAAAAGCTCTCTACTCGAACACTATAGGTCGAGTTGGAGCTTATGGTGAACTGTCATCGGAATTCATTACTTCAAGTGATGTCCGTCAGGGATGTCCACTCACTCTATGCTTGCTTAACTTTGTCGTAGATATGCTATTGGAGTTGACATTATCATCGTCTGACTCTTCAGGATTGAATCTCCTACTAGGAGACTCGCTCGCAAAATGTTGCTTCACGATTTGCAGTTGAGCATGTTGACCGCTTCACTAATCTCGGTAGTCCCATCAATGCTGACGTAATCGTGACTGACGAAATCTCAACACGGATATAGAAGGCTCGTTTGGCTTTCACAACTTGCGTCACTATGGCGTTGGCGAGATATCCGTCCTCTGACTGAAGGACGAGTGTACTGCACAGTAGTTCGCTCTGTCTTACCTTATGGGTGAGAACCATGGCCAGTCAGAGTAGAAGATATTCGTAGGTTTCTTGTTTTCGATTATAGATGTTTCCGAAGCATTGCTCGAGTATCGTGGGACAGCCGAGTAAGCAGTGCTGTTGTTAGGAAACGGGTGCTATGTAAGGATGGCAGGTCAATAAATGAAGTAATAGTGGGACAAATGTTTGTCCCAACCAACGACTGCCTCGTCGGGCTGTTATGTGGTGTATTAGGTTGGAGGAAAGCTATTGGCAGCCAAACCAACATATGTCACAAATCCATGCAAACACAGACAAGTGAACTGAGTCATGTTGGTAGGTGTCGACTACCTGTTTGGGGTCCGCAAAATGATAAATATATAAATATATATATATAAATGTTGTAAGCAGATGACGAGAACTAGACTGAATAAAATGAATCCATATTATTCTCCCCAAGATTTTGCTTAATCTCTTCAAGATGATCAATGGAACTATGTGTCTGAAATTGTGGCCTCAGTTTTTCTAAATGTTAGTTATAGACGTATATTCTGCAATATTCTATTCCTGCTTCTTGTCAGAATTTTGTGTTGGAGTTTCGATCTCTGAGCTGGATACTTTACTTGTGGAGCCTTCGTCATTCTTCTGATCAAAATCATCATCACCAGCACAAACTTCAGACAGGAGTAGTTAAGTATTCGAATTTCTCCACGTTTGACTCGTAGCTTGTTCGTTAACCTCGATGTTGGTGGTTTTAAGGCCAATAACAACCACTCAAGATGTGGTGAATTTCGAATACTTCACTTCGTCTATCTGAAGTTTGTGTTGATGATGATGTTGTTCAGTAGAAGAACAATAGAAGCTCCACAACCAAAACATCCAGCTTCGAGGGAACTTAACTCTACCGCAATCATCCACCTGACCTACAAATTTTCTCCATGATGTCAGAATTTGAATGTCCTTTATTTGCTCTTTAATTTACAGGCACCTTGGTCTTTAACATTTTGGGTAACTTATGAAAAAATTCGATGCCTAGCTGGAGTTGATGGCTTTTGAATATGTCAATGAATGTGGATTTCAATCAGTGTGTAGTTTGTTTCCGATTGTTTTCTCTACTACTGCTGCTACATACTACTTATAATAAAAATAGTAGTAGATCAAGAGAATAGAGAGAATACATGGAGAAAACGAATTAAAAATAAATATTTTTTCTTAATTTTTCTGATTTACTTAAGATTCTTTTTATTTTCTTTTGTTTATTTTATTTTATAATTATTTTTTTATTACTTTTATTATTAATAATATGATTATTTTATTTCCTGAAAACAGTATTGCTTACTCGGCTGTCCCATGATACTCGAGCAATGCTTCGGAAACAACTATAATCGAAAACAAGAAACCTACGACTCTCTTCTACATCAGCATTGATGGGACTACAGAGATTAGTGAAGCGGTCAACATGCTCAACTGCGAATCGTGAAGCAATATTTTGCGTTTCGAGGGGTAATAACGCATCCCGAATATGCGTGCATCGTTGCTTATGGTAGTCAGAAGACTCTGCATTTTTTCAGCGTCTTCATCAAGTAGAACTGTGTCATTGGAAAATTCTAAGTCAACAAGCAAGTCTCCTAGTAGAAGACTCACTCCTAAAGAGTCGGACGATGATAATGTCAACTCCAAAAGCATATCTACGACAAAGTTAAACAAGAATAGAGTGAGTGGACATCCCTGACGGACATCACTTGAAGTAATGAATTCCGATGACAGTTCACCATAAGCTCTAACTCGACCTATAGTGTTCGAGTAGAGAGCTTTTATAAGGTTAAGGTACTTCTCTGGTACACCTTTTAATGACAGACACTCATAGAACCTCACGATCAACAGAGTCGAATGCCGCCTTAAGGTTCAGGAAGACAACTAAAGTGGGACGCCTATATGTGTGTCTGTGTTCCAGGACCTGTTGTAGTGTGAATATGTGGTCCAAGTCGGAAACCAGCCTGATTTTCTCGAGTCTGTTTTTCACGAGCTCTCGTTAGGCGTCGAAGTATTATTGAGGCTAACAATTGAAACACTATATTAATTGGACTGATTACTCTATGATTGTCACAAGTGGCCTTTTGTCTTTTCTTGTAAATTTGGACAATCAGGGATTGAGCCCGTTTGGATGGGATTAAGCCCAGTTTCCTAATTCTACCTTAGATCTCAGTCCAATTTACTTAGGCCAATGCCTGATTTTTAGGTAAAAAATAATTTTAAAGTCAATTTTTCTGATTACGATATACTTCACTTAATTATTTGTTAGTGAGTATTGAGTGGGTTGATCTACAGAAGTTAACAATGTAAACCTTCTGTTTCTCCACAACGTAATCGCTTTTCAATCAACGCACAATTTCGCGGTATACAGTTGTACTAGTATTTACGCGTATTCAATAAAGTTCAAGGTTACTGTTTCATACACACCTATACCGAAAATCACAAATAGTGATTGCATAACATTGTGAATGTAGTCAGTCCGTTACAACGTAGAACTTCGTACGTACGTTAGCTTATGTTGCCATACCACTTTAGCGCAGGATCATCGAATTGTCAATTGATATCACGTTGTGTTGTAAATCGAAGAAGTATTAGTGATAATGGAGAATATTAGGGTTCGAAGAAACTATTTAAGAAGTTTGATTCAGTGAAACAGATTTAGAACGCGAAAGATAGAGGTGACTGATGATTTACCAACGATGAGCATCAAATTTCAATGATCAAGAGGAGGAGAAGGAACCAAGTTGAAGGATCAATCCACAGTTTCCTGTAAACTTTGTTCTTCTTTTGAAAGAAGAATGAAAGTCCACCAGTAGAGAAAATCTTCGTGGTGGTTTCTCGTTCTCTGAGCTGGATATTTTGGTTGTGAAGCTCACATTGTTCTTCTAAATAACATCAGCACAAACTTCAGATGGAAGTGAAGTATTCGAATTTCTGCACGTTTGAACTTAAGCTTGTTCTGCTAACCTCAATCTGGATTGGTTGATGTTGACCTTAAACCTGTCGTTCTTTGTACCATTGTTCTGATCGTATGCCCTCTTTGATCTGTTTGTTGATCCTATATCGCCTATTTTTCTTCTGATTGGTTGATAAATTGGGTCAATGTCGATGTGTTTGTTGAATGCCGATTGACTTGAGTGCCGAACTTATAAAAATTCTCTAGTCTTCTTTTTGCCCTCCCTATCCAGTATTCCCACATTGTTCCAATCGAATATATGTCCATAATTGTCGGTATGTAATGATGATATAAGCGAAGAATTGTCTTGGCCTTTTGATTGCTAATTGGTGTTCATGTAAACTTAGCTGAAGAGGCCGTCCACTTTATCGTATCTAGTGTTTTTCACAGTCTGAGCAATTTATTTTGTAGATGAAGTTTGGTTTTACTTCCTTTGTCCTTTAGTCTACATAGGATTGATTGAAGTGATTCTGTTGGTTTGTGTGCCACACCTATTCCAAATGGTTTCCGTAGTGGTGCTGTATGCTCAGATATGTCTTTTATGTGTGTAAGAATGGTCCCGTACCTGATTCCACTTCTGTTGATGTTTTTTGATGAAGTTGTGTGGATAGCTGTTCTTCTGGAAGTCGTCTGGAACATAAAGTCTGCTAGAACTCATCGATCTATGCTTAACAACGTATTTTCAATTCAACCTGAGCGACAAATTTTCTCCACCATCTCATGAAAAACTTTGTCTTGGCCGTTTGCATTTACTGAAACTGTACAATCGTATTTATAGTTAGTTTACTGTGATAAAGTAATACGGAGAGGTATGACAGGCTTACTGATTATGATAATAATAACCTAATGTGGTATCATATGATGAATTATTTATAGAAAGAAATCAACTACTGAAAGGAAGTTATGTAATGATTGGCTAGTGAAGGGTGCTATAAACTGTGTTGGTTATAGTTCACTGCTTGTTCTATTCAAACAGCTTTATTTTCAATTAAAATAAAGTCTATTCAGCTTTGAATACCTCTACCAAACATTGAAGCATATATATTTCGCTTCATCAGTGCAATACAGAGATCATAACAAGTTAATCTCATCATTCAAATCAAATGATTTCATTGGTATATGGCTTTTTGACTAGCTGGCCTGTTTGAAGTAATTTATTATCTTCATTTTGAACTTATGGTGATTATTAAGTTTCAGTGAAATCATGAATCTGTCATTGATAGAAAACTAGCAGAAACGTGGAAGCAGTGGATGGACGTTTTGTCCTAGTATGGAACGTCGATAAGTTGCACATACACGACCCCTTCTCCAGGGACCGACTCATGATTTCAGTGCAGCTCAACAATCTCCATGACTCTCAAATGAAAATCATAAGAATGTGCTCAATGGTAAGCAGCTTTGTGAGGAAATTCTCGGAGTACTAGTGAGAAGCCGTGACCAGTAGATTTCAATCTTGTCGGGTGTAGGTAGATACCCACCGAAGACTATGAGTGAGGTTGCGAGATGCGTGGGATTGATTAATGCTAGACATGAACATCAGTGGATGCCAGCTCAGTGGTCTGGAGGTGAAGCGTTAGCATGCGTGATCGGAAGTCTTGGGTTTGATTCCCACGAGACAGGGTCATGAATGCACACCACTAAGCATTCCCATAATAGGTCGAAACGACCATCCAGTGCTTCCACGTTTCTAATAGTGGTCTAACAATGATCGACCCATCATTTCAATAGTTTTTTATTCACTCAAACAACACATTTTTTCAAATTATTTAAACTTATCAGCTTGTATGTAGAGAAATACGATGAATTCACCGTATTGTTTGTGTAATAACATTCTTGCTGCATTTAAACTTGTGAAGAGTACCAATTGTATTTGTCATAAATTGTTTACTAGACATTGAGATATTAATACATAGTCTTAAGACTATTATATCTTAATTGACTTTCAAGTGAATATGTTGTCTACTGATATAAGATTGATTATTAGTGTGATAGAGAAATATTTATGCATAATTCCTACTGGAACTTAACACTGGATAACTCTATTGATCATTTAATATAACAATGAGATATTGGATGATTATGAAAGGCAAAACTGTTGCATACCTAGGCTATATTGTAAGTCTATCGGAAGAAGATTGCTTGAAATATAACGAATGAATCTTGTGGAGACTAACTACGAACTGCTGGACTGAAAGGCAGAATAGAAAGAGAGAAGCTATCGAGTTATAGACCAATTAGGATTTAGAGCTAACCCAAGATTACAGATGCTAAGATACTGTAATTCAGATGGGTGTTTTGTATTCGTCACATTACAGTGATCATTGACTAAAAGCCCAAAAGATATGATATTGTTTTGAATCCAATTTTATGAAGAGAACGCTAGTAGTTTAACAGAAAAATTAATATAACCCGTAATATCAGTGATTGTTTTACTGAGCCTATTTGTTTATAATACTTTTTGAACGTAAAATTTGTGTTTGTGTTGTGGCCATTTTGGCTCCACTTTCTCTGTAATTTCACCCCACTTTTCTAGCACTATTTATGTATTCTTTTGATACCACGAATTCGCCCACAAATATATTTTAACTATGGAATTACTCTTCTTTTAAGTGACGGTCTCGTAATTGCTGTAGTGATGGTCAGAGCCAGCCACGACTCGACGCGCCATTAAAATATCGCATTTATAACTTCATACCATAGAGAAGTGTGGTTAAGTTATGACTAACGATATTCCGAAACCAAAATGAACACACCGTTGTGTACGAATGCTTGATATCATCATGACACAACTTTCTAACGAATATTTGAATTAATAAAGACAAATCAGATCTTCCTAACAGATGTTCTCTTATCTCAAGCAGACATTTTCGCATAAATACGGCCTACAGTGAGTGATTTCGTTAAACAGAGAAAAATAATCTAATTTTATTGAATATGAACTTGGATTAGTAAATTATTTAGTTGAAGAGATTACGAAAAATCTAACAATTAAAACTGGTCAAAGAAATGAAACTATGAAACCATTTGAATTATATATGATGTATTGTATATCTATTCGGTAATAGATTCCATTGTAATTATTAATAATTAGAGTTAAGTACAAAATCAATTCCATTTTAAACTTTTGGTAACCATCGGT